AGATGGCCAGTGATGAAGACTTTGACTTTAGGCTATATCAATATGCTCCCAGGCCCAAAAAAAATAAAAAAAAATTAGCTTAGGGCCCTATTTTGGAAGGAAGGACAAGGTGATCACCACTTCACTACACCACTCTTCCACATGTCAAAAAACTAAAGCCAGGGCAGGCCAGGACCTATCATCGACCTCGCACTAACACCACTTTCTCCTGCTAAAAGGCTATGTGAGACAGCTTCTTCTCTACCCTGGAGAACGTTGAAGCTAGGGTTTTTAGGCCTAACTCAGAGAAAAATTTCACCAATTTTGAATACACTCATGTCGATAACCCCATCATGAACCTGATCGTGGTAAGTAGATTCAGTAAAGTTACAGTCTCCCTTTTGATAAGTACTGGCTGTTACTTTTACTTAATTTTATTAGTGTTTTTATTTAGTTTAAGTTTGAGGTCATTTTGTGTAGTTTAGCAAAAGTTTTTCTCTTAGCTTTTAAAAAATGTTTGTGAAATCCTTCACTACGTCTACATCGTGATGGTTCACTTATTGAAGGTTGAGAAATATATGGTTGCCTTAGCCAAAAAATGTAAGAAAAGTTTGAAGTTGCTCAGTAATATTTGATCTAGTTTCAACATGTTCAACAAGAAGGAAGCTGAGCATAAAAGAAAAATTGATGAGTTGACAGTAAAGCTAGAGGTTGTATTGATTGATAATGCCTTAACTGACTTGATGAAGAAGCAGGTCGAACTTAAACTCAATGGTGGTTAGGCTGAGTTAACTAAGATTAGGTCTAAGCTTGAGGCTAGAGAGAAGGGAGAAGACATGAAAAAAAAGATCATGAAGGAGTTCAAGGCTTCCAATGAGTGCCACCAAATGAAGGTAGAGTTATTTAATAAGAATATTTTTAGTGCCTTTCAATTAGCTAAAAATAAGGTACAATTTGAATTCTCTATTTTGAACCTCGACCTCTTTGATATTGACATCAATAATATCATATCGAGAACTCATCTAAATCAACCTAAAAAAGATGAAAAAGATGAAAAAAAAAGGATGAAGATGAGGTGGATGAGGCCTTGAAGGCCAACGGGAGACAACTTTGAAGCTTGAAGATGAAGTGTTAGATGTTGAGAAGTGTGAAATTATTACTGCTGCCCTTACTATTGCTTTTAGTAAGAAGGGTGCTACACCTACCATTGCTATTGACGTTGTTAAAGAATAATTCTTTTGACTCTTTGTTTTTAATTTTTTATAATTTTTTGTTAATGTATGAGGTCAACTTTTTGTAATGACCTCAGATAGGGTAATTGTCCTTATGTAATTAAGAGAAATGAAATAGAAAATATTTTTTGTTTTGTCTAAGTTTCAATTTGGTTCTATTATGATATTTTCTTCATTTATACAAGTTTGAGGATCGTTAACTGAACTAAGGATTTACATAATCATTTGGATCAAATTAACCTGAGAATCCAACTAAGTTTTAGGTCAGATTTCTTTAAATCACTTAGACATAAGCTCACTGAATGATTTAACTCATATGTTTAAGTACAAAATAAAATACAAGTGTAAGCTTAGTTTAGATCGAGCTAATGATAATAGACCTTTAAGTTATCTATGTTCTATGTCTTTGGGATGACGTTGCCATTCAGATCTTATAATTTGTAGGTCACATCATGGACAATCTCTTTAACAATATATGATATTTCTCATGTCGGGGCTAATTTGCCACTTTGGTAATCTATTTCTAAAGCTTCAACTTTCTTAAGTACTAGGTTGCCTTTCTTGATATGCTAATACTGAACCCTTTTATTATAATAATTGGTCACCTTTTGCTGCTAAACTACTATTTGTGTTAGGGCTATGTCTTTTTATTTTTCGACGAGGTCGAGGTAAGCCCTAAATGTTTTTTCATTTTTTCTTTTAATGCTAGGTCAACTCTTAACTCGATAGGTCAATCTTAATTGGTACTACAGTTTCTATTTCAAATGCCAGATGGAATGAGATTTCACTAATGGGCACCTTTGTGATTGTCTTTAGGGCCATAACACTTATGGTAGCTTGTTGGCCTATTTTTCTTTTGCCTTGTCAAGCCTCTTCTTTAGAGATTCTAATATTGTCTAATTCGTAGCTTCGACCTACCCGTTGGACTGAGGGTGGGTCATCGACGTAAACTTGAGGTTGATGTGAAGATTTGAACACCATTCCTTGAACTTCAAGTTTTTGAATTGTTTGCCATTGTTTATTATTATAGACTAAGGTAATCTAAATCTACAGACTATGTTTTTCACATGAACTTCTCGACTTGGGCTTTCATGGTGGTAACTAAGGCTTCAGCTTTTAACTATTTTGTGAAGTAATCTACTGCTACTTATATAAATCTTCTTTGACCTGTGGTCGAGGTATATGGTCCAAGGACATCCATTCTCTATTGCATGAAGGGTCATGGGTTGATAATAAGAGTAAGCTCGATTAAGGGGAAATATTGTACATAAGCAAATTTTTGGTACTTGTCACATTTCTTCACTAGTTCGATTACATCCTTCTTGATGGTAGGCCAATAATAACCCTGCCTAAGAACTTTATAGGCCAACGGCCAAGGTCTGAAGTGACTTTCACATATTCCTTCATAGATTTCTCGCAAGACATAGTTCACATCTTCTTCATTAATACACCTTAAGTAGGGTAGGCTAAAAAATCTTTTATATAATTCCCCTTCAATCATTGTGTATCGAGGGACTTTTCTCACCAATACCTTAGCACAGATCTTTTCTTTACATAGTACTCTCATGGTCAAGTATGCCTTGATTGGCGTCATCTAGGTTTTTCGCTCTGTGATTTATCCTATGAGCTTGTCCTTAGTGTTTTGGTGCGTTAGCTCTTCTACCAGAACTTGGTTTAGCCTTCTATTATTATTATTATTCCTAAAGTCAACTTTGACAAAGAGTCTATTATTGAATTCTCTGACCTCGATATCTTTTTCACTTTGGCTTTCTTGAAGTCAGCTTTTAAGGCCAATGCTTTGTCGAGATACTTTTATATCTCATCTTCCCAAGCTCCAAACTCTTTATTTATCTGACTGATCGCTAATTGGGAGTCGTTATACACGATTATGCATTGGACATTCAACTTGATTATCAACTTTAGACCAGTTATCAATATCCTCATATTCACTTCATTGTCGGATGCTCTGAACCTGAATCTCAAGGTGTATGGATATTGTAGCTTTTTCGGTTGATTAGACTGAGGTCGGTTCCTTCGCCGTGGCTTATGGCCGATCTATCAATATAGAGCTTCTAATCATTTTTATTCAAGGTTTCTTTTTTTTTCCTCAAGTTATCTTTTCGAATGTATCGAGGTGAGCTCTACGAAAAAATTTATTCCTGGACCTTTATATTTATAGGTAAGTTATAGAGAATAATAAGAACAATACCGAACTAACGTGACACTAAATATGTCAAATTAATTTAACATATCAAATCAACATAAATAATAAAAAATACTTCTAATTATCTATTAAATGCTTTAAAAAGATAAGAAAACCATTATGACTTTTGACTCCCAAAAGCCTCTAACATTTATGGAAGACAAAAAGAAGCAAATAAGCTTAAACTTTCATATACTAATTGTTGCAGTGAATGATTCATGTCATATTTTTAACTAATGGCTTTAGTAAAAGGTTTCTTTAAACAAAAACTAAACCTAATTAAGATAATCTAATATGCAAGGACAAATGATTTAGACATGTTTATTTAATTTTTATAAATAAATTAAATTTATAAATTATTTTATAAATAAAAGGGTAAAAGTAAAAACTAAATATAATAATTTATTAAATAAATTAAATAAAAAATTATTTAGGAAAACTCTTTTTCATTAAAAAATTTTTGATAACATAAAAATTAACATATTTTTATACCATAAATAAAAATATATGTTAACCATATAATAGAATATAAATATTTTAAAAAATACTTATAAATTAAACTTTCAAATATGTTTGTTTTATGTAATTTGTAAATAATTAATTTTCATAATCAATAAAATGTGATTATATTAATATTTATACATATATTAAAATACATAAAAATAAAAATTATTTAAACAATAAAACTTGTTTTAATATAATATAATTTAAAATTTTATTTTAAAATTAATTCAATAAAAAATTATCATTATTAAAAAAAAATCTGGCAAAGCGAGGGCATTAATCTAGTAGTGTTAACAGATAGGCGATGGGATGCTTCGTAATGGGAAGTTTCAGGTTAATCAGAGCTTTCTAGTGGTCCTGCAAATATACTACTGGGAAATACAAATGACCTTTGAAAATTTGCAGCAGCTGGTCTGGTGACCAAAGCTTTTTGTACTTTGGTGCCAATATGCTTTCATATGCTATTATTTTCACAGCCCAGCCACTCTTCTCTTTTGCTTTCAGATTTTGTTCAAACTAATATCATTAAGCAATTGCTGCAATTAATGGGTGTTTTTAAGTATGAACGTATACAGTTTGGCTGTCGTGGCTCGTCGTCTTCCCGTTCCTTTCGCTGAATATGGGATGTGCAATTGTTTTGTTCAAAATTCCACAGCATATTCTAGTTCTTTCAAAAATAATGCAGTCTTTTGGCAGATCCAATGATTAAGAAATAGAAAGATAACCTTTATTCAGCCCTATTTATTCGAAAATGAACAGTCAGAATTGCACTACTTATCCTGAAAGCTTAATTGCATCTACCATTTTAAGTTTTTTTTTTTTTTTTTAATTTAATAATTGAAGCTACCATGATTTAAACTCTATTATTGTAACTAAGAGTTCAATATTTTACAACATATTATAAGATTGTTGACATCTGCCATCTTAAGTTGAAAATGATGTTAATATGCATTTTAGCTTGCAAGGGCCTTGGATTTTATGAACTAATTTTACTAATCTAATAATCTTTTTCATATTTGAGCAATAAATTATTTATAACCTAACGAAGATTAAGAGGTCAACCAATGAAATGTGGTCCGGGCTTGAGCATGCTTGCATTGGTTAGGACTGATGTCAGATATAGTCATGGAAAAGCGTCAAAGAGATTGTATGGTGCAATTTGTATTGTTTTCATTCATTAGTGGAAAACAGAATGCAGAAAAGATTTATACATTACAGAAAGACTGGAAAAAGTGTAGCTGCTGCAGCCTGCAAGGGATGGGGCAAGATAATGGAAAATAGTTAAAAATATGTAAAATGGTAATCATTGTCACTTTCAAACATTTCAACGGGGAGAGCTCGATTCAGGGAAACCCTCTGCACGTGCCACTAGAGGACACATCATAGGCCCCTCGTGACTTGACTTTAGGGCATTTTATTCAACTTTGGATCAGTGGAAAAAGCATCACCAGAGGGTTTTTCTCTTTTTCCAAGCCTTTTTTTAATGTGCAAGATTAAGTGGTCTAACTACCAGTCCTATGCTCTTCTAAGATTGAATAATTCCTCATTTCATAAACTTGAGCCTAATTTGAGAAAAAAATGTAGAACAAAGTTATTAGCTTGTTGCAACTTTTTGTTGATTATCTTAATCCACAATTATGATTCAAGCGAGTCAGGAGCTAAACAAACTCTGTTCACATGCATATAAACCAGTTTTACGGTTTGAAATAGATTCACATATCATTTAACATTACCTGTATATTGCCAGGCATCAGAATTTTAAATCATCCGTACGTGGTGGTTGAGTTTTTTTTAACTTTGTCTTGATACGCAATTGTCAAATCTGTTTTTCCTTTGTTTGGTTACCTTATCCTCTTATTGGTGGCCTAGAAGGATGAATTGTTATCTAACTTTTACAGGAAAAGAGGAAATCACCTAATTCCAGAAGCGGATTAGTGCAAAAGAAATGCAGTTTGTAATGAAGAAATTCATCATCTAAATTTCCCAAATTTGAATTGTGTGTAACATTCATAAAATCACAATGAGATGTATAAGGTAAGAAACAAATCTATATTCAGGAAGTACAAACAAATATTGAAAAGCATCACCTTTTATCCATTTTTTCATTGCTGCAATTTTCACAAATCAGGAGGGAGGGGTTTTAATCCAATTGAAACTGCCTGCATGAACAACTGTTTGAAACCAATTAGGTATTCCCTGAAATACAAGATCTCTAAATTTCCCTTTCTTTGGATCATAGGAGACTAAAACTCTGTTCTTATACTCCAACAAGATTTCACCATTCTCTAGCAAGCAAAGAACTCGAACAACCTTTCCATTTGAAGCATTCTTCCATATGTTCAAAGGTCTGTCTCGGTCCAAATTTTGTTTCAAACATTTTGGCATGTAAGCTCCAATGCTGAATTCTTTGATCCAAGACTCCTTCACATTATAATCCTTCATAACCCATATCGCCAATTTCCCATAATTTCCATAAACAGCTGCAGCAAGACAACCTTTCAAAACAGACAGATGAAAATTACATCTGTTTAGACCACCACAATCAGGTTTTGGGACTTCTTGGAATTGTTCATATGCCAAGTCAAACGACATAATCCGGCGAGCAGGGTCAGATCTGCGTGGCTGACTTACCCAATGAAGTCTTCCGCTGACTAAAGCCTCTGAAGGCCGCCTTACAAACTGGCATGATGCTTTTCCTAGACTCCTCCAGGCAGAGCTTCCCAGAGTGAATATTTGAACATTTGATTGCCGATAAATGATTCTTCGGGCACGACTGTAGCGACTACTAGAATTCCTATAGTAAACTATTTTAACTACCTTGTATTCCTTTGTTTTTGGATGGAATCCAAATCCAAACACTACCTCCTGATCTGTATATTGTCTAGATTTTGGCAGCTCAATATAGTCCATGGTAAAAGGATTGTAAACAAAAATTGGATCGTTGTATAATGAATTAGATAAGCACAATAAACCATTGCATGATCCTACTACATCAAATTCAGACATGGTAGCCTGGAAAGGTACATATAACCTTTTTACCTTCTCTTTTTCTTCGTTGTGAGCAGATAAATCTACAAAATAGAGCTGGTTTCGGATGGGAAAATCACAGTGAAGGATGAGGCACGGGTTGCCCTCAGCTTTGCAGGAAAGAAGCATATCAGAAAGAAGAGGGTCTTGAGCTAAGGCACGCCATCCTCTGCATACACACTTGAATTGAACCAAAGATGTGATCGGAAGTCTTGAAAGTATGTCAACGATGATTTCGTGTGGTTGGCTTTCCATCCCAGTAGTTTGTTGTTGATCATCTTCGGGCTTGGTTTTCCTTCTTTTAGCATGTCTCTCACCATCCAAACCCATGGCTAGTTAGTGATTTAGAAAACAGATGGATTACAAATAGTATGTGTGGTGATCAAAAAGGAAGTTGGGGATAAACATGATAGACTTTGATCAGATCAAACTAATATTATAAAAAAGGAAAAGAAAATAAAAGAAGAGACGGAAAGCACAAGAAATTGTATAGTGCTTGTATAGAAACCATCATTGAATAAACTCGCTGGTAGAAAAGTTCAATTTTTCCTTTGATAACCGGGACAAAGCTAAAAAGAATTGATAGACATATGTAACAATCTGCACCGTTCAATTAAGCATATAAATGATCAAATGTGAGTGCAGAAAAGCAAATTTTATGAATCAATTCCATGTCATTGCAAGGATGGCCCTCCGGAGAGTGACTTCCCAACATTAAGTGTTGAATATTGAAAGAGCAAAAAATTTGATAAAATAAATAAAATAATAGTAATAAACAATTTTTTTTTTCAAAAAGTAAATGTCTCTATTTAAAAAAAAAATCGATAGTTGAAAAAAAATTATAAATATTAAGATTTAAATTTCATATATGATAGATATTACTTTATTATTGTATCAACCAATTAAATTTTAAATTTATGTGACTCTTTATATGCTTAATGCTCTCCTATCCCTAATTATATATCTCCTAAAATACAAAATAATAGTCACTCAAACAAATTCAAGATAAAAAATTAAAGATATAAACAAAAAAAAAAGCATGATTCTGTTTTACTAGTAAAATATAAAACCTAAAATCTAATTAAACAAAAAAAAAAAAACCTGGAAACTTCCACTAACTTACTGCTTGATTTGTATATTTATTGTAAAGTCTAGTAAGCGAAACTGAAAGTACTAAATCAATTAAATGTTAGATCACAGAGTTTAAAAGATCGTTATTGGAAATTAACTCCCAAGAAAATTACAATAAGCATGGTAAAAGTGATTTAAGTGAGTTCAATTACAGTTTCACCTTGCATCAGCGAGTAAAATATTATAATAAAGTACCGTTATTATGTGAATCAAACATTTTTTCGGAAATACAAAATAAATCATGAAATTTACTTCCCAACAATACTATTTCTACAAAAGCAATTAAAGTTATTACCAAATAAGTGACAGCCATGAACTTGGCCGTCAATGTCAAGTCATGATTATGTGACTTGCTTCATGCCCAATACGGCGTGACTCGTTCAATGCTATTTTTATTTTTTTAAATCTCCCTAGCATTCAATTTTTTTTATTCTTATTTTGATAAATACCAAAAATTCAAATTCAAGTGAAATTCTAAAGTTTAAAAAGACAATTGCAACACTTTTTCCAACAAATTATTTCTAAACTAAAGTGTTCAACGTGTTCAGTGAAATTTCAGCAGTAAATACTACTGTGTCAGGGAGTTGGGCTTGTATGTTACCAAAGTCATCTAATTATTTCTTTCGATTATTTGCTTCAGAGATCAAAGCCAAAATTGACCAATTTCGCTATATGGCTAACTTTAGCCCATGTATTATCCAGAAGTTTCTTTGAAAATTGGTAAAAAAAAAAAAATTCAGGGTCACATAAAGATATTACTATGCGCTTGTACAGTTTTTACGCATCATTTTCTTGCTCATCAACTTGTCGGTTCTGCCTTGCACAGGACAAAAAAAATGCCATTGTTGGGCATTTAAATGCAAATAAAGTACAATATATATTTCGTGTGCAACCAATTTCAAAGAATATTTAAACTCGGAAAAAAGTGTGGGAAGGGTTTTTTTAATGTAAATAAAACATTGATTCAAGATTTAAAAAAATCAAGGACTAGAGGGAGTTATCTGGACAAAAACCAAGCTTAGTAATCCAAGAATTACTATTCATAACATTAATAAAAGCTTAAACAACACTACTACTGCTACTATTTTTGCTGCAGCTTGTAAAGCTAAGCTGGTACATAGTAACCCAAACAGCAATCAGGAACCAATGTTTTGCCATTGGCAAGAGAAAGGAGGATATGATCGTTGCATCACCTTCAATCTTTTTGTTTTATTGTAAATTTTAAATTATTCATATTCTCCTAAGAGAATCTTCCATGGCTTGGAAGAGTCTATAATGATGCTTATATCCCAGAAAGAAATTTAGGTTGTAAATAAATTTACAATATGGATAGAAAGCAGTAATGGAATAACTCAGTTTGATGAAGCCAAATCAAGTTTAGCAATCAAAGTGGGCCAATTGACATAGAGAAGATGCATTTTGCTTCCGCTTACATGTTTAAAAAGGTAACATTCATTAATTAAAGAAACCAACAAGATTGGTAGTGTGAAACCATTTAGTCATTCCTTGAAATTTAAGATCCTTGCACGTTCAACATCATATAGCTCCTAAAAAACCAGTGGTATGCATTCATTCTCCAATAAGGTCCCACCACTATATGGCAGGCTAATAGGGCACTGGTCTCCTTTAGGCTTTGAGTCTAGGAGTAGAAATTTTGATGGCTTCATCAATTACTCATTAATTCAGAAAGTTCCAATTAAAAACTATAACGAGGGGCATCAGAAAAAAGTTTGAGCTAAGCATGAGCATTAGAATCTAAAATGGATGATTCAAAAGCGTCTACGTAGTTCCTAGAAATAGAGATTCCAAGAAAACTCATAAGTTAAACAGTAATTTAAAAAGGCAGTACAGATTATCAGAAAACAAAAGTTCAGTTTCAACGAAGAGAAAACCCACAGAAAACAACAGTTTCTTTGTTATTTTAGTACTTAGATATATACTAATCAGGCTGCCAACATGAACAATCATTTTAAACCAGTTTGGCGCTTCTTCAAACGTAAGATCCTCAATTGTTTCATGTTCTGGATCATAGAGAACAAGGGCTTTGCTTCTACGTTATTGTAAATGTCATTACGTCTAGATTCGAGGATCTATCGCTAGACACTGATTTGAAGGAGTCGTCACCAATCATTTTTATCTAGGTGCGATTGATTACCTAAAAAATTTATCCTTATAGGGAACACCTAAGTTTAAAGGTCCCTAAAAAAATAAGTTTGGGTCTACTAATCAGAACAGAATTTGAGAGTTCGGTTACGTGTGAGGAAGGTTATAGCACCCTCACAACGCCCATCGAAAGATGGTACTAGCTTAATTTTGTGTTATCCAATAAACCTTAAAAATTTACCATGTAATTAGTTATTGAAAATTATTCTTAATTAACTCTAATACTTTTAGCAGAAAATTGAGAAATCCCCTCACCTTAAGAGTATGCAAAAAAACTAATGTTTCACTTGCAGAGCCTCCATTATCGGATTATTTAACATTACAAAAATTCAAGAAAATACAAAGAAAAGAAAAAAAATGATTGCTTTTGCGCAGGAAAAATTGATACTTTCAACTTTTCTCCAAAAATATTTTTTTTTTAAACTTTAATTTCGAAAAAAATTGATATTTTCAACTTTTCCTCAAAAATCCATTTTTGAAAACTTATTTTTAAGAAAAATTGATACTTTCAACTTTTCTCTAAAAATATTTTTTTTGAAAAGCTTATTTTCAAGAAAAATTGATATTTTTTCCAAAAATATTTTTTAGAAAGCTTATTTTCAAGAAAAATTGATACTTTCAACTTTGTCTCAAAAATATTTTTAGAAAAAACTTATTTTCAAGAAAAATTGATACTTTTAACTTTTCCTCAAAAATATTTTTTAGAAAGCTTATTTTCAAAGAAAATTGATACTTTCAACTTTTTCTCAAAAATATTTTTTATTTTATATTTTTATATATTTTTAAACTTTATTCATGTAAAAATACTTTTAAAAATAAATAAAAACATAAAAAAAGAAAATACAAAAAACAATTCGACTGGAGAGTTGACGTGGCTCGACTCCAGATGCAAAAAAGCTGGAATGACTCAAAAAGTGATTGCACTACATCAACTACCTTTGGTGCTTCCACCATCAGTTTATGGCTTCATCGTCGTGAACTCCATAGCCATTGCTTTTTCGGCTTCTCCGTTCTGGCCTCCTGCAACTGAAGGAGTGGATGAGGGAAGAGAAAACAACATCTGTTCCTCCAAGCAAAGGTGCCATATCAAACTTAGGATTATTCTCAAAGCGCCTATTTATCGACTTTGTTAAGATAAGTATCATCTGACCGTAAATAAGCTCTAATTGTCCTTTTAATGATTCAAAGGGCTCCTCTGTGCAGCTACCATCAATCCCTTACTACCTCTTCCTCCGCTCGAGTTGGATATCTTATCCCTCTTTATCCCTGTTGTTGATATGTAGAACTTCATCATATTCCGTCACTTCCTTCCACTTTCTCCCCACTTCCATCTAAGCAAACAAGATCCACTCAATCATTGCTGAACACTAGCATTGAAATCTTGGCACTGGTAGTGTATTGTACTAACAGGTGAAAAAAAAGTCACGAGTTGATTCTCGTAATTTCATATTCCTGAGATGTGTTAGCCCCGCTGAAAAGTCTCCATCCCATGCATTCGATAGGAGAAGAACAAGAAGCCAAAAAAATAGATTCAAGAACCAAGAAGGCAATTCTAACGAAAAAAAAAGGCAACGCAATCCCAAAAACCAACATCACCAGCAATAGCGTCCGGCTTGATAATTGTCCATGCAACGTCGCGGCTCTTTTTCATGGAAGACCTATTTGCTAATTTCTGTCACAAACTGCTCATTACCTGATTTCTCAAATTTAAACGGGCTCCCAGCTTTGTGCGTAGCAGTTCTAAACAGCTGGTTACTGAACACATCTAAGGAGCCAGTGATCATGATCCGAGCATTATTTCTAGCTTGCACAACTGAGGCCAATGAAATGGCAGATCCAGTAAGCAATAGAGGCCCCAACAATTTAGATTTCGGGTTAACAAAATAAGCTGAAGAAAATGCAGAAAGCAACTTTAAAACCAGGCCATTAGCCATATTTACTGAATGTGCGATCCCTTTAAAAAGTATTGGTGCCTCGATTTTGGTTTTTCCAAAAGCAACATCAAATCATTCTCATATCAGCTGGAATTTTGCTTCCCACACTGACTTCTACTATGTCTCCTGGAACTAGCTCAAGTGCAGAAAGTATTGAAAAATAACCATTACGCAGCACAGTTGCAATATCAGCTTGGTAGGCACATAGCTCCTCAAGAGTCTTTTCAGCATTTGTTTTCGTAATCACTCCTGAGAATCAATGAGAACTATTATTGAGTCTACCCCAAAGAAATCCAGAACCAAATCCAACTTTTGCAAAAATGTTTGA